CCGATCTCAAAAAGTTATTAACCGATCGGGCTGAAATTTTGAGGGGTTTTAGTCAACATAATTATCGGAAGGATAAACCTAAAATATTACAGATTTTGCATAAATAAACAATTTTAAGGGAGTACAAACTGTCGAAAAAATTAACGAAAATTCGAATTTTTTATTAAAAAGCCTATCAAATTTTTTATTTGTACTTTTTATCAATTTTATAGGTTTATCCTTCGCCTAAACTCATCAGTAATCGAAATCATTTTTACTTTTTGATTTCAGACCAATAGAAAAATCAGGGCGATGGCAGCCGTTTTCCATCTCCTACAAAAAAGGCCTACATGGAGGGACTGTACCGCCGCCATTTTGTGTACAAAAAAATTTTTTTTTAATAGCTGACACGTGCCTTAAATTATGTCAAAAGTGCAAAATGATTTAATTATTTTATCATCCTCAAAAAAATTCATGAAAAATGACTGATTTTCGAGCTTGTAAATGTATTTCTCCCCTTAATTAACCCAACACTAAATTACCGAACAATAATTAAACCAAAATACATCCTGTAAATTATACACGGTAGCAAAAACATCGAAACACACACACAATTCATATAAATTGTGCTATATATTTCTATAGATTAAGAGAATTTTGATGTTTTTATAAATATGTTAACATATATATAGGGTAAAGTCGCCTATTATAAGATAGGTTTCTAATATGAGATAACGGGAATTTTGCTAAACTAATAAGCATATGTGATTAATTCATGAACTTATTACTCTTGAGGTGAGATCTATTATTTAGTAGAAAATTTATTATTAAATCATGCGTGTATTCATTGAGAAAAAAGATTATTATGAAATTGGATGTTGTCAAATTTTATTGAGATGAGCCTTTAAATCTTATTTATTATATAATAAATAAATATTTGATAATAAATTCTGCATGCAGTAATAGAGTAAGATTGTATAATAAGAAAATACGGGATGCGATGATTTGATTTATTGTGAAGATTAGATTTAGTGATCATGAAACTCGCAAGACGTGAGGCTCGTAACATGAGATACTAAGTTTTGTTTAATGTCTGAAACTTAAGAAATTTAAGTTTTGTTTATTTTCTGACTGTTTTATTTTATAAGTATACAAATTTAGTACGTTAACTGTAATTGATTCCTAGTCTTAGGATTAATATTTTAAAACCGCAAAATTATAAAAATGTTTATACATTTACTATGTATAACTGAAATTTCCTATGTTCATATTTTTATGTAATAAAAACGTTTACATAGAAAACTTTTCTTTATTTCTTTCTTGGTTTCCTATTATGAAATATTTCATATAAGAAAACCCTTGTGTCACATATTAAAAATCTTTTTTTTGAATAAGCAAAATCGGTACTTTTGACAAAACTTTTATATTCAACAAAGTAAAGTTATAATTGATTGCTAACTTTTAGAGATAAAACTTGAATATTTTTCCTACAACTTTGAAACATAAAAACACAACATAAAAATAGAAATTAATATTACAAATTAAATAAATTCTAAGCCTTTAAAAAAAGATATTTCATGTTAGGAATCTTTACCCTACTCACTTGGTTATTCTTTTATAAATTTTTTGGCATTTATTATTTCACTTGCTTAAATTAAAAAATATCATAGACTTGCATCAAACAGTAACATATAATATATAACATATAATGTTTGGTCTCGTCTTATTGTAGTCACGTTGTGCGATGTAATCAAGTAAATACACTGTAATTATAAGCATTAATTTATTTAAATTGTTCAAAGTATCTGAAAAACGTAGGGGAAAAATGTAATATCAACCAGCGTATATATGTATATTATTGACCAAAGGTAATTCTCACTTCCACCGTTAGATGATAGCGTATTATCTTATACGTGCACAACGGATACGTATATACTTTTGGTTCATGTATCATAATCTCAGTCAGGCACGTTTCTGCATCGTAGTGAAGTTGTGACAACCATTTCGTCAGCGCGTTTCTTGAGTATGCAGAAAGTTATTTTACAGAATTGATTTCTTGTTTCTCAGGTAATTAAATTATTTTATTGTATTATGTGCACTATATCTAATGTATTAGAAAATAACATATTAGTTTGACAATTTATTTTGTACATTGTGCAGAATAATCAAAAGTATTTCGTGCCTGTTGTGAATGTGTACCGATTAACATATTTTTTTAAAGACTTTGGTTTTGATGAAGAAGAATTTATTGATTGTAAGTGCACTTGCCAAGAGATATTTAACGAAGATTGGATACACGTATTAAATGTGTAGATTGGGCACATGTCAAATGCACAGATAAAAAATACATTCTATCCTACTAAACACAGTTATGTTATTGTTACATTACTGTTACAGAATCTCAATAAAATAAGTAATATTATGTGGATGTTAAAAATAAAACTTAAATGAAAGTTTTAATTACTCAGTAATATAACAACGTTGTGCATATATTATATAACGACAATTACCTGTGCATATATTGTATAACGACAATTACCTTACACAATTATGTAAAGGACTCCCCACGATCTTATGGATTATGGAAGAATAACTCCGGTCAAATTGTTCCGTTTTAAGATATTATAGTTTTTGAAATTCTAAAAAAATCTCCATTGCCACACCCATCTAAAATCAGTAGATAAAGAGAAGAGATATGGAGATCTAAAGTCATAAAACTTGAGTATCTGCTATCTCTTTAAGATAACCATTAGATGCTTCCTTTTTTGTGTAATTATTATACGTACACGTGTATTCTTAAATATGGAGCTCTACGTGTGTGTGGCATGTGAGTGCGTGTACGATTTACTCTCTAAAAGTGAATCAGTGGAATCATCACTGATTTTCAGTGATATATGTTTCTATCCTTCGTAAAATTATTTTTTAATACAAAAAAATGATAATAATAAAAAGGAACCAAAAAATAAATAAAAAGATAATTTTTACATTGTTTGTTTTACAAAAAATTAAGTTGAAAATATGAGAAAAATGAGAAAAATATATGATCATATATAAATGATTAAAAATATACATATGTATATATAATTATATATAAACAATTTTTTCTCATTTCATAAAACTTGATTTTTTGTAAAAAAAAAATGCAAAAATTATTTTTTAAATTAATCAATAAGAAATAAAGGCTATGAGCCAAAGCAGAGTTATATGCTCCAATTAAAAGTAACTCTTTAATTAAAATATAATAAACAGACGTTTCGATTCAAATAGGATCATTTTTAATGTTAAAACGTAAAATTAATAACACATAGTTTAAAAACAATATTCGATCATTCTAACGACCTAACAATATAAAATTTTAAATACAAATACATACGGTCATCTAAAACGGTCAGGTAATATAAAAATAATAAAAATGTGTGTACTACTTATCGCATTAAATGAACTAGATTAAGGCGCAAGTCTTCAGATGCATGTCGGTCATCAAGACAGCATATTACAAAGAGCGTAACTTCAATCTCCAAGGATTTATGATAGATAAAGCTCGGTTGGTTTAAATACATTATATGGATATTCTAGAATATATTATACAATACAAAGTCAATGCTGATCCATATCTTAAAAAACCATAAACTAAAATAGAATTACATAAATTAAATTAAAATTAAATACCTCGAGGAGTCTCTATCATGCTTTATATAAATTATCAAAATTAGACTTTGTCAGTAGCAGTTCTGCGCGTGTTACTGTGTAGGTCACATTTAAGAGTCGTTGTGTAATGCGAGCTAAAGGCCGAGACACAGACTTTTGCATAACGCTGCATAACGCACAAGACATAAGGCATAAGAAAATCAATCAATGAGAGTATGAAATGAAAGACTCTGATTAGTTGATTCTCTTATGCTTTACGTTTTATGCATTATGCAAAAGTCTGTGTCTCGGCCTTAAGATATATAACGCCATCTCTATTCAGGCAGAAAGAAGCAAAGAGAAGGAAAAGGAAAAAAATGAAAGAATTGAAGGATAAAGAGCATAGAATATTAGCGTGATAATGAATTTAAAAGCGGAAGATACGTATCAGGCAGTGATTCTGTATCACTCTGCTTACTAAGACAGTATTTTTGAGTCTTAATATGAATCATTTCAGAGATCAAACGTTTTTCATACGATGGTTCACTGTCGACAATCTTCACATCTGCCCACTCAAATTCATGATTAAGTGTAGGACGATGATCAGAAATGACAGACAACCGTGCCGGATTTTTTGTTCATATCTTGGCGATGCTCTTTAATTCTAGTATCAGGTTGTCGTTTCGTTTGACTTATATACGTAGCATCGCAATCCTGGCATGCAATTTGGTACGCCACGTCTTGATGTGCCATACAATCTAGCACATCTTTTCCGCATTTTATGAATCTATTTAAATTATTAGGAACGGAAAAGGCTGTTTTGAGATTTAATCTTGTAGACATTGGTATGAAGCATTCAGAAATAGTTTTTACATATGGGACTGTGAAAAAATGATTATTAGACTTATTATTTTTTTTCCGGAGAGCGTAATCTTCAGTTTTTAAACAGTGAAATTTTAGCCTAATATTAATGGAAGAAGAAATAAAAGATAACAGATATCCGTTTTTAACAAAAATGTGAATCAAGTCCTCAAGATTTTTTTTATGGAAGATGGGATTTTTATTGAGGATGGGAAAGCAGTAACACTATCCACTAAACTAAATAAAACTCCTCTCTTATGGCAGATAGGGTGTTGTGAGTGAAAGTTTAAGAATCTGTCCGAGAAAGTAGCTTTGTTGTATCGGTCAAATTCTTTCGGTAATTCTTTTAATTATTTTTTATGTTTTCTTTTTATTATTATCATTTTTCTTGTATCGAACAATAATTTTACAAAGAAAAGAAACATATATAGATATGTATGGACATATTTTGCATGTATATAATTATTATATATATTTTTCTATACATTAATATATATTTATACATGTTCTTATATAAAAAATTTTTTTCTCGGGATGTATATTATTTTCTAGTGGCATACTTTGAACTGTGATAAACAGTGAGTATTTCAATGTTTTTTAGTGATAATATACTGTGTCAAACAGTGAATATCACTGAAAGACAGTGAGTTTCACTGTCAAACAATTTTGAGAACTTAAATTTATTATCTTATTTCAGTGACATTCACTGTTTGAATCAGTATATTTTATCACTGAAATAATTAACATTGAAGTAACAGTTCTACTATAAGTATGTCACTGGAAAATGATGTACACTGAAAATCAGTAATAATTCCACTAATTCACTTTTAGAGAGTATTTGTTCGTGTATGATTTTATAAGTATATTATACATACTGGACAAGGCATACAGTCACCACAATATGCAACCCTAAATACTTATATAAACACAAAAAAATACTGAAGCGTAAACATATCCATATTATTATTAAATTACAAATACTCAAACATAAACGCACGCGCGTGCGCACACAGGCACACACAGACATTACGTGCATTTTAGGCAAGAATACTTACAATGATTAAAATAGAACAATTGGTTATTAATTTTGATGAACATTTTGATAATATAATTCCGTGAACGTTGTAAGCACCAAAAGCGTGAATACGGAACGTAGCCTGAGAAAAACGTGTTAAAGAAAAATGCGAGCTTTATAAAGTTCTAAACATACTGCATACATTTTTATCGCGTTCTTACTCGTTACTATATTCTATAAGATTACACTGATCGGCATGCTAAAAGTATTCTGAAAAAGAATAATGGTTTCCTGTAGATTTTTGAGCGCTGGAAATGAAACTTCAGAATTTATCAATTATGTCACATTTTCAACAAACATGAAATTCTTACAAAAAGCATTTTTGGTACTTTTTGAAAAATCATATAACGGACGATCCTGGCGTGCTAGAAATTTCCAAAAAAATCTTAAATATGTATATTAACACTTTTAATGTCTTTTTCAGCAAATATATTTATGTACAACAAAAGCCACATTTATTCCATTTGACAATAAATACATAAAATACATTTTCAAATTCAGAAGAGATTCAAGAAATTCTAATTCACCTTTGGTCAAGAAAATTATCAATAAAACATGTCCTTTAATGACTTGAGAGTGGAACGTGTCGAGGGTGAGCTAGAAGATGCATTACTTAAATTGTATCCGACTATGACAAATGGTTTCGTTAAGATTGGTGAGAAGAAATGGCATCTACCATACAAATTTGTAGAAATTAGCAATAAGGTATACAATTTCAAAGTTTATCAGGATGATACGTGGATTGTTACATATCCTAGATCTGGTAAGTCGTATTAATCATTAAACGTCATGGTAGATAAATATTAATAATAAATAATAAATAAAGTGTCAAAGTCGTCATATATGTACATTAAACAAGATTCTAAGGCAACTCAAATAGCAGACGATTAAATTCTTGCCCTTTCCGACTTTTTATATAATTATTAGTGTTACGTCCAAGCCCCCACACGGTGAGAATTTTTTTTTTAATTTACCCTGCAAATCATGTTAATTATGGGACAATATAGTATTTAGGCAAATTTCATTGTGCAACTACAATAAGATTTCGCAGCAAAATTTATTGTAGTGCACAGTAAAATTTACCTAAATACTATATTGTCTCACAATTAACATGATTTTCAGGGTAAATTTTAAAAGAAAATTCTCTCCGTGCAAGAATCTTTATTTCAAAGGAAAGCAAAGTAAAGAACAAAGCACAAAAAGACAAAATAGAACACTATTCTATATCGCTCTGAATGGGGCGTATGCTACGAGTCAAGTGCACTTATCTAGGGCCCGAATGTGGGTCAGTGTTCCATATGGAAACTATAACGCCGTCCGGGGCCGTACACGCGTCGATTCTCTATTTAAGTCAAAGAACATAATCCCTGTGACCTGGGAGTGAATCGAGCGCGATCTTTCAGATTTGAAGATGAATTACGGAGATTAATAAAGAGAGAAAATCATAATAAAATTAACAAGAGTTTTGTTTAACTTTAAGTATATTTTAACAAAGAATGAAGATACACAGTTACGATGGTAATTATCGGTATATAGCACTGGAATTATATATTTATTTTATAAATTTATATA